ACACATGCTATACACTAAAATACTTCTGAATAAAAAAACTGAAAACCACTGAAAATATACATCAACAGAATCCTGGTTAAATTAGAGTACTTCTGAAAATAACAGAAATACTATAATCTCAAGATCTGCAATATATTTCCAAGAAATACTGTTAAGAAAGACTGTCATCGCACAAAACTCTAGGGGGCGCTATTCATAGCGATTTGAGTAGAATAATGCCCGCCGCTCCCTCCACCAGAAAAGTGGCCTGGTAGCTCTTCTGTTGAAACAGGTTTTTCATGAGGAGGAAAAACATGACAAAAATATATGCAGATAAACAGTTCACTAATGATATGACTCTAGCTGAGAAATAAATGAGATTATAAGGGATTTTCCCTTTCTGTTATATTTCTATGTTTGAGTTCTCAATTACAAGTATTAATTACAATCTGAAAAGAGCAATGAAGAAATTAAGGAATCAAAGGCTCATAAAACTTTGAAGGTATTTCACATAACACCAAACAGCTGTACATTATCAACATTTATAATTCATGTAACAGTAAATAAAAAGAGCTAGTCAAGGAAAAATATATATAGAATTATATAAAGTTCAAAAGCAAGCCAACTAAACCATTTTCACATATATACATACATGGTAAAACAAGCAAAAAAGAGGAACACAAAATTCAGAATGGTGATTTAACTCACAAGGAGATGGCTTTAAACATATGGCAATGTTCCCTTTTCTGAAATTGGGCAGTAGCTTCCCAGGTGTTCATTCCCTTGAAATTCTTTATGACACGTTTTATATATGTCTTTTATACAGATATAGACCAAAATTTAAAAAAAAAATTTTTTTTGAGATAAGAATCTCACTCTGTTGCCTGGGCGAGCGCCATGGCGTCAGCCTAGCTCACAGCAACCGCAAACTCCTGGGTTCAAGTGATCCACCTGTCTCAACCTCCCGAGTAGCTAGGACTATAGCCATGCACCACTATGCCTGGCTAATTTTTCTATTTTTTGTAGAGACGGGTTTCGCTCTTGCTCAGGCTGGTCTCGAACTCCTGAGCTCAAGCTATCCTCCCACCTCAGCTTCCTAGAGTGATAGGATCACAGGCTCACATGAGCCACCACATCTGACTTACACAAATTTTTAAAATAAGAAAATTCCCAGAAAATGTCATGCTTAAAAGAAATTATATTTTTCAAAAATTGAGAAAAAGAGCACATCAGAATATCTGTGAATGGAGGAGAAAAGAGATTTTTGTTTGTTTTATTATAGATTGAGGGAATAAGGCCAAAAATTTTATTTTACCGTTTTGAATAGAAATTATTCCAAACTGCATAACTATATAATAGTGTATTTTCTTAAACAGAATATACTTTTTTTTTTAGATCAATAAATGAGCTATGCTGTAACAGCAATTCCTTCAAAAATAAAAAGATACATAGGACCACTGGTTTCAAAATCTCAAGAGGTTCTGGAATGACATTTTTTGATCTAAGTCTATTTTTTCTACCATGGCTCTTCCAGTCTCTCCCTTGATGAAGGAGGAAATAGGGAAAAAACTACAGAAATATTTTAACCCAATAAAGTAACTTGAAGAAAAAGGTTAAAGATGAAACTAAAATCATAAAAGATAACTGGTTAATAAACATTTAAAATGTTTGCTTCTGTTATTAATTTTAAAAATAAAAAATTTAAACAAGATACAAGTTTTCATCTAAATATTACATAAATTTGTTTTTAACAGCACTCAATAAAAGCAAGAATTAATGAGACATAACAGAATATTCTCACACCTTGCTTATGGAATTTAAACTGGCACAGCTATTTTGGAAACTAATTTGGCAATACATTTTCAAGAGTCTAAAATGTTCTTACTCTTTAATCCAATAATTCTATTCATAATTCATACAACTTTGTACAAACAAATAATAAAACGTGAACAAACACTGAATCCTTATTTCAGAGTGAATGTAATGAAGTGATAAAGTACATCGCTCCACTTGCTTGGTTCATCAGTTTTGATAAAATGTAAATAAAGCAAAGAGCAAAAAGAATTTTAAAATTTTTAAAAAACCACCTTAGCCTACCAACATTCAGGCTATCCTGATCCCATTAACTAGCCCTGCCTCTCACAACGTCTGACTCAACCAAGATTGACTGCAGTACAGTCATGTCAGACAGGAAAAAAGCACACTGATATATTTAAAAGAGTTTCCAAATGACTTGACATAAAAAGGGTTTTCCTGGGAAAGGAAAACAATCTTCCAGATAAACTATGAAATACTATTTCCCAAACTATTTATTTCATCAAGAAATCCAAAACCTCTGTAAATAATTTTTTTAGGCAGTAAGAAATATGCTATAACAACACAGAAGTCACCAAGCTAAGTAAAAGTTTGTTAGTCACATCTATCAATGTTTAGTACTATTAAATTTCTCAAATTTTCTGAGCAGTTGGATGAGTATTAAACAAAAAGCTAAAACATGTCAAACTCCCTCTTCAGGAAAAAAATTAAATACAAAAGGTTTATTTCTTCAGAAAGCAGCTTAAAAGCTACATTGAACAGAAATTAAGTCTCTTTATGAAAGTATCAAAACATGAAATCATGGGCAATAAGACTTTTGTCTGTTCACACACAAGTAATCTAAGTTCTAAGCCCTAAGAAGGCTTGAGGAAGCTCTACCCAGAGCAATTAGGAAAGAAAAAGAAATAAAAGTCATATGAATCGGAAATGAAGAAGTAAAATTATCTCTGTTCACAAATTATGTGATCTTATATGTAGTAAAGCCTAAGGATTGCACACTAAAAAACTGCTAGAATAAAATGAATTCAAGAAAGTAGCAGGATACAAAGTCAACACACGAAAATCAGCTGCATTTCTATATACTAACAATAAACAATATGAAAAGGAAGTTATGGAAACTCCATTTACAATAGCATCAAAAAGAATAAAACGTTTCAGAATTAATTTAACCAAAGAGGTGAAAGACTTATATAATGAAAACTACAAAATACTGCTGAAATTAAAGAAGGCAAAAATGGAAACACATTCTATGTTCATGGATTGGAAGACTTAATATTAAGATACCAATACAACCCAAAGAAATCAATAGATTCAAAGCAATCTCTCGAAATCCCAATGACTTTCTTTAGAAATGGAAAAATTCATTCTAAAATTCATACAAAATCTCAAGGAACCCCTAAATAGCCACAACAAACTTGAAAAAGAAGAACAAAGCTGAAGAACGCACACTTCCTGATTTCAAAACATATTACATAGCTACAGTAATTAAAACAGTGCAGTATGAGCACAAAGACTGACATCTAGAGCAATGGAGTAGAACAGCGAGCCCAGAAATAAACCCTTGTATATATGGTCAAATAATTTTTGACAAAGATGCCAAGAATATTCAAAGGAGAAAGACAGTCTTTTCAACAAATGGCATGGGAAAAGACATGGATAGCTACATGCAGCAGAAGAATAAAGTGGGACCCTGATCTAAAGCCATATACCAAAATTAACCCAAAATGGATCAGATCTAAATGTAAGACCTAGAACTACAAAACTCCTAGAGGAAAAAAAGCATGATGCAAAACCTTCATGGCATTGGATTTGGCAATGATTTCTTAGATATGACACCAAAGGCATGGGCAACAACAACAAAAATACACAAATTGGACTTCATGAAAATTTTTTAAAATTGTGCACTGAAAGACACTATCAACTGAGTAAAAAAGGCAACCCATAGAATGGGAGAAAATAGAGAGATATCTCCCACAGAATGGGAGATGTATGATTGCAAATCATATATCTGATCAGGGATATACAAGAGAGTATATATCTAGAATATATAGAGAACTCCTAAATTTCAACAAGAAAAATAACCAATTCAAAAATGAGGAAAGGACTTGGACAGACATTTCTCCAGAAATATACAAATAGCCAATAAGCACATGAAGATGCTCAACATCACAATCATGAAAATGTAAATCAAAGCTACAGTAATACCACCTTATACCCATTAGGATGGATACTATCCAAAAAAAAGAAAATAACAATTGTTGGCAAGGAAGAATATGGAATCCCTGGCACTGCTAGAGGGAATACAGAATGGTAGAGTATGGTGATTCCTCAAAGATTAAAAAAAGAATTACCATGTGATCCAACAATTACACTTCTATATACTGCCAGAAGAATTAAAAAGCAAGGTCTCAAAGAGATATTTGTACACCCATGGTTATAGCAGCATTATTCACAATCACTAAAACGTGGAAGCAAATTCAAGTGCCCATTGATGGATAAGCAAAATATGGTATGTATTATACCACAAGAATATGGAACTAAGTATCAGAAGAAATGGTTAAAATAATTAAGGTTGTTGCCTCCAGAAAATGAGATGGGAGGAAGGGTAATGGAGTTTGGCAGAAGACCACTATTTGTCTTAAAAAATATATAATACTGTATTCAGCCTTAAAAAGGAGGAAATTCTAACATAAACTACAATATGTTAGAACCTTGGGGATACTATTATGTTAAGCGAAATAAGTCAGTCGCGAAATAACAAATACTGTATGACTCTACTTATATAAGGGGCAGTCAAAATCACAGAGAATCAAAGTAGAATGGTGGTTGCCAGGGACTAGGGGGAAGAGGGAAGGGAGAGTTATTGTGGTAGAGTTTCAGTTTCACAAGCTAGAGACTGGATGGTAGTGACGGTTGCCAACATTACGAATGTATTTAATACCACTGAACTGTATACTTTAAAATGGTTAAGAGTTTATAGTGTATTTTACCACAACAACAAAAACTGGAAATAAAAGAATGCTCAAATGATGTAAAATAACAGTTTTACATTAAATTTCAGTCATGGTGGCCAACTTTTTATCTGTACATTTAACATTTGGCAGGAATGCCTCAATTTTATAATAGTAACATCAAATCGTTAATAGTTAAAGGCCTCTCGTTTTATTTACTCTCTCGTCCAGAAGAAACTGATTTCTCTAACTTACCTAAACTCGTGGGCTTGATGAGAACATCAAGGACATCATAAAAGGGCAGGTTTTTTAACTGCACATCAGGATGGACAGGAGGAATTGGGGGAGATGGCTGCTGCATCTCAAATGTAGGTTTAGTATCTTGAAGCAGCACAGAACCAACAGGAGAGGACGGTGAGTGAGGTGTAACTGAAGTGGAAGGCAACGAGTGGATTCCAGCCACGGCCAGGTCAGGTTCTACAGGAGATGAGCTACCATCCAAATTGAAAACAGATGATTTGATTGTGGATAAATCAGAAAGTCCTTCAAGAGTTCGTGGATATCGGCGTCTATACAATTCTCGGATTTTAATCTGAACTGCAGGGCTGCAGCCACTCTTCAATAAATGCAGCGCCCTCATCAGGAGGTCATGCTTGCGTCCACTTTTATTCCGTCCAGCAAAGCCTAGTAACACTTGTAGTTCAGAAACTCTAAAACTAGAAACCATATTCTAAAAGGAAGAAAGAAAAAAAAAAAAATAAGCCAGTAGTCACCCTCAAGCACATAAAAATCCTATCCTATCTAAAATACACTGTAAAAGCTCTTCTTCCAGTATTCTATCAACTTGCATGTTCTAGTAACCAGCATTTTCACATACCACTGAGAACCAATACTATTCATAAAGTAATCCCCCCAAAAAAATTACATTCAAGTTATGGTTGTGGAAAAAAATAGTTATGGTGTTAATTATATTTTGTTGTACTCAATTTTGGTAATCTACAGTCTGTTGGTTTCTATTAACCATTTCTCATTGATTATGCTCAAATGTAAACAGGTATTTGTTTTATGACTATGAAACCTATAACCAATAAAAATGTTCCTTTTCAAAACTAAGCTCTAATACAATGTAATGTTTGTTACAGAATTATCACCAATTAACCAAATAAAAAATTAGATTTTCACAATGTTGTATGTGTAACTTCTAATATTGAGTAGTAAATCTACAAAACCAAGACAGAATTGTGACCCAAAATTCAATGACTTTTTCACCTCAACTCACACATTAAGAAACAGACAACGTAATAATAAAGATATTTTAAGATATTAAAGCTAAAAATCACATACATCTCATATAGCAGTCAGTCAAACTTCTAAAACGACTGAAATTCCCGGCTGGGTATCCAAATGAGAAAAAGACCTTTGAAGAGCAAGGAAATGAGTGGTCATAAATCTTAAAGCACAAGACTTCCTCTACACAACTTACTGACTTGTTTGTGGATGTGAAAATTTAGGTTATATGCAATTCCTACTTCACATTTCACCTTCTATTTATTCAACAAAACCCCTTTTGCCCCTTGCTGCCTCATGAATCCACCTACTTAGTGATTTCCCATCAATTCTGACCATGAAGGTAAACCACACTAGAGTCAGTCACACAGGTGCACCGTCTACCAAGAAAGAGGAAGATCTGGAGCTGACCAAAGCCATCAGAAACACACCCTCAGAAGACCTGCCCTCCAGAGACTTTCCTGCCACTAAAGCTTAGGGTTTTCCCTCCTCCTGGGTGCTGCACACTCCAGTCACCTGAGATTCCTCTTCAACCTGATCTTCCCATCAGCATAGTGGCAATGTGGGGCAGTGCTACAGCTGGCAATGAGCCATAATAATTCCTCTTTCTGCACTTTTAAGTCTCAGTGATAACCCAGAAGCAATTGTTTAAAACCCTGTATAGGGCCGGGCGCTGTGGCTCACGCCTGTAATCCTAGCTCTTGGGAGGCCGAGGCGGGCGGTCCGAGTAGCTGGGACTACAGGCATGCGCCACCATGCCCGGCTAATTTTCTTTCTATATATAGTTGGCCAATTAATTTCTTCTATTTATAGTAGAGACGGGTCTCGCTCTTGCTCAGGCTGGTTTGAACTCCTGACCTATGGGATTCCGCCCGCCTCGGCGTCCCAGAATGCTAAGATATTAGGCTGTGGCCCACCCAGCGCCTGCCTACTAAATATTTTTTAATTAACATTTATTAGCTTACAAATGTCCAAAATCTATATTATGGAAATATAAGAGAAATCTGCTAGAAAATCCGACTCAATCAGTAATCTAATGTCAATCAATATTTGTTTGAAACTTTCCATATCCTCAAATATGATTTTCACAATGAATCTAAGTATACAAAATCATTAAAGATGCAAATGAATATAATTTAAGAATTTGCGAGCTCATTTAAAAACATACAATCATATAAAGAAGCCTTGAATAAACTGCGAGGGACTATACTTACAGTCACATTACTAGATAAAAAATACTCAATATTGGAAAAAGTACATATCAGCTTCTTCCCACTTACGTTATAATAGTAAATTCCTATGAATGGTAATGATGTTGGAAAGCTTATAGACCTAAAACTTATACAATAAATGAATTAAATAAAGTCTGGGCGAGTGGTGGCTCACGCTGTGAATCCTAGCACTTTGGTGAGCGAGGCGGGCGGATTGTTCAAGGTCATGGAGTTCCGAAACCAGCCTGAGCAATGACCCTGTCTCTACCTAAGAAATAGAAATAAGATTAATTGACCAGCTAAAATATATATATCAAAAAACTTAGCATGGGCATACGTGTGTCATAGCCCTGTAAGTCCCAGCTGACTCGGTGCGAG